TGATGATGATGATGATGATGATGATGATGATGATGATTATGATGGTAATGGTAATGATAATGGTGGTGGTGGTGATGATGCTCACAATTTTCCAAAGAAACTGTTGCGTTCCCTTGCAGAAAAAAGGCCTACTCGTCTGTTATTACGAAGGAGTTTACGAAGGACCGTTTCTCTTTTATGGTACTTTCAAGCCTGAGGATGAATACTACATATAGCTACTCTATTATACAACATTTTATTTTCTCTTTCTAAACCTCGTTTCTTTCTCCAAAATATCTGTATTTGGTTTTTAAAAATAATAAATTTTCTAAACACTATCGACCTTAGCAAGTTAAAATTTCATCTTACAATGATAATATGATAATGAAGATAATGCTGACGCTGCTATTGCAATTACTTCTGCTGCTGCTGATGATGATGAGGATGATGATGATGATGGTGATGATGATGATGATGACGACGATACTGATGGTGATTGATTGGTGTGACAGAATGGTGTCCACTGGGTGTGTTGCTGTTAGACAATCTTTTCCGAATTCTAATAATTGCTAAACAAATGAGTGTTTGGAAGAGCCAAAAGCTTAGTAAGTTGTCAGTAGTCAGTTTAATAAAAATTAAATTGTGAAGCACGTGTAGGATGGAAAATGGGTTCACATGATTGGGGTGTATATGGGAATGGGTAGGGGATACATAGGTTAAGCAAATAAATGATTGACAAAATGTATGACTTTTGCAAAGGACTCACACCCACGACCTATTGAGACATTACTACACAATGATAACCCACTTGTTGTAAACTCTTACAGCAGTCAAAGTGGTTAACTCTGGGGGAGGGGGGGGGGATTGCAAAACTGCCTTACGTTAATAATGACCGTATCATCATTGTAAGGTAATTTTAGTGGCGAGAACCACGAATATAACACCTGCCTTCGAGAGAACTGCTCGAAATGGGAGGAGTGGATAGCTTTAAAATACTCTAAATAAAAAAAAGACAAGTTCAGAACGCCCACGGGGATTCGAACCAGTATCATTCGCTTCGTAGTTCAACATGATATCACTGAGCTCACGAAACGCCCAAACTCTAGAAAACATATCGAAAGCTTAACTAGTTTGGTGTACAAAAAGTACAATAATTGTATTGCGATTGTTAAGGGATGATCGAACCTCGTTTATCCAAATTCGATAATAAACAGGAACATTTTGCACTGGTAGGTAACGGATACGATTTGCTATTTAACGTATTGAAAAATTGGGCTCCACAGGGTAAAAGATTAAGGGGGAGACCACAAAGAAATTAGAGAAAAGTCACAGAAATTGGTGCGCTGAAAAGTGCGAAGAAATGGAATAACATTAAGAGGATGGCCCAGGAGAGGGACAGGTGGAAAGCGTTTGTTCGTGGCTTATACCCTTAACAGGGTGAGAAAGGCGATGATAATGATGATGATGATGGTGATGATGATGATGATGATGATGATGATGATGATGATGATGATGATGTATTGAAAAATAGATTGTCCATCTTTAACATCAGTCAGTTAACTCTTTTTATATTGTTTCTTAAATTAAACAAACATTTAAAACTATCTGAAAGTAACAGCCTTTCGTCGACAAAATGTTCAACTGTTCTAAGCCTTGAAAGCAACATTTTCTTAGGAGAGAGAAAAAAACTCGTTTCAATTTTTTTTAATGTACTTACGATATGACATGTATTTTTCCTTCTTTTTTTTTCTTTTTCTTTTTTTTTTTTTACAATATTAAGATTTTAACTTTCCACACAATATTTTACGAGCACATGCACCCGACACCACAGATTAAGAAACCCCCATAACATAGAAATCTTAAGTACATCTGAGCAGCGGGCGAATGTTATGTTATTGTAACTTATTGAAACCTTTACTCAATCTGCTGTCAAGGTGCTTATCTAGCGGCTTACTTCTTCCGCTGAATATGAAAACTTATCTGCTGAACAAGAAAAAGAAACGTTATATCGAGCCAGTCCTGCTATACGGATACGAAATATGGACAATCTATAGCTCGAAAGAAAAAATTGTGGTGACAGAGTTGTGGTTCATTAGACGCATGTTGCGTATCCCATGTACTGCGAGAAAAACAAATGAAGAAGTCTAGGTTGAAGCAAATTGCAGACAACGGCTTAAGAGGAATATATGCGAAAGCGACAGGTAAAGTTCATTGGACACACAATGCAGAAAGAAGCAGTGGAGAATATTGTAGCAACAGACAAGTATGATGGAAAGAGAGACAGGGGCAGACCGAGGGAAAAGATACTGAACAGGTCGACAACATGGCTGGGAACAGCAAGAACGACAGACACCAACGCTGCAACGCAAGACAAAGTGAAGTAGAGGTCAATAATCACCCACGCCAGTCGGCAAGGCACCGGATGATGATGATCTGCGGAAAAAAGCCCTGCTAACTGACTGCTGTATTAGTTAGACAGGGAGTAAAGAAGGGAACAAGAGGATTAAAGACAGGCGAACCCGTCTAATACGGCCACCCACTGCTGAGGAGAAAAGGTGGACGTCTTACCCTGTCTTTAAAGTTAACAAATTTGCTAGGGACGATACAGAAAGTGACCGTTTGTTAAGGTGACTGTCTTCTGAAGGCGGCCATTAGAGCAGTCTCGACTACAATATTATTATGATCTGCCTTTTGATTTTACCAAAACGCAGTTTCATAGACTGCGTGACATCGCCTTTGCGCAAGTAAATGTGGATGGTTTATTGCGAGCAGTAATAATACATAATTACTTTACACCTATAACACTGACGCAAGTAATGCTGGGGACATCCCGGATGTTGTAAGGACTTAGGGGATCGTGACATTGACAACCATAAAACTCGAACCTGCAAACTGTACAACTCTAAGCACCCCCTCCCGAACATTCCCCCTCCTCCCCCCCTCTCTCTCTCTGTCTCTGTCTCTGTCTCTCTCTCTCTCTCTCTCTC